CATACCCAAGCACCTTACCATTAGCATTACTTTCGATGCTATACCACATCCATCTTCACCCACCCAATCAACACCTACCCTAACTCACATATGTAACTCGATCTTATCATCACACCCTTACCAAGCCCTCTTACCTCGCACCACCCCATACACATTCCACCGGCCTCTCATTACCACTGGATACTCATTTTACATTTCCAAATCCACCGCTCCAATCACACCGGTGTCCAATCACTCAGCATCACCAACTGACAATACGATCTGGTGCTGTGCATCGGTTATTTCAACACCATTGTATTTCAACCATTGAACGCTCTCGTTTTGTCATCTCAAACAATGAGAAACATCTCACAGGACCATTCACAATCAAGTCGCATCTTGCAACAAATGCACAAGCATCATAACAATTTTTACAAAACGAATACTTTTTGCTATCTTCTGTCTTCTTTTCACTTGATGTTATATACATATGTGTAATATTACTAATCGATCCATCAACATCATCGTCATCGCACAATTAATGTCCACACCCCACCAAGCCATACTGTATTACTGGTCTAGAAACAAACCAGGGGAGACAAACCCCACCATCTCAACATCCATACGCACGGCTGTCGCAGAAAATGTCAACCATGTCATTGATTCACCATCAACTGTCAGTAGTACATACCTTGATAGCTCAATCCGTCCGCAACATCCACACACACCTTCAGACCACAACTCTACCACACTAGTCTAAAAAAACTACACCCTGTGCATCGTAAAACCATGAAAACACCCCACCAGCTCACTTCTGTCATTTTCACATGTACCCTCGAACTTTATTCATCTCCATCCACTTCATCATCATTCAACATATAGATGCGTCCTCCTCGTCCAATCAAACAAAAGTCACCTCCCCCCATCACCCACTCTGGGCCTATCACTCGTGGGAGCCGACAAAATAAGCAAAGAACAGAGACTTACCAAGATGAACTAGGTCTGTACATACAACCCTTTCTTAACTTCCACAACACTTGAAACTGACTGCATCAAGGCCTCGTGGCAAGATGGTCAAGCAGGCTCTGAATTTTCCGAAGGTCAGCAACACTTACCTTCATAACCAATGAGTTCCTCTCTGCTGACATTACAGTTGAGACCCAGAGCAATCTGATTCAGATCAATCTGACTCCGAAGTTGAATCAGATAATAGTTCAGGTATTTTTTTACATATTGCTCTACTCACACGCTGCAACGTCCCTAATTAATGTGTTACAAACAAGAAGGAACCACAGCCAAGCCGCCCACATCCCAAGTACCCAAGAAGAAGAGAAGGAGACGTACCAAGGCCAAGAAGAACACCTCCACCACGCTACCTGACAATGACGACCTTGTAATCCCTGACCCTAGCGTTGATGCCGTAGATGACAATGGGCTGGCCCTCCCCAAATCGCCCACAACAACACCAACCCTCTTCAATTACAAGGACCTTGCCGACGAATGGACTTCAGACGAGCTCGAACACTACCTCCAATGCACAAAAGCTTTTGCTAACAGCCGAATACCACCTGATATTCTCAATGAAGCCAGAGCCCTCAAGGACGAATTGATGACGAGATTAAAGGTGTTAAGCATTGCTGGTGGTGTTTCATTTGATACAATGAAATATGGAATGTTGAGTATATCATCGCTTTTGTTCAAGTTTACATATCCGGACTTATAATTATAAGATTTACCTTACAGTCACCGTGCGACCCGTGTTGATGACCAAAAGCCATATCACATCTTCCGCAAATTCAGCTTGGCCGCTACTGTCGAAAACATCAGTATGTTTTACGGCACCTTTGAACCTCATGTTCACTGGTTCATTAACGCTGAGAATTGACAACACTTTGACTTTTAGTGCCACAGACCGCGCCGCGCCACCCCCCCGATGATGATTCAGAGGAAACTCGCCTTCTTGCCACCTACAATGACAATGTATGTGGCATATGGCAACAACTCAAGCAAACTCCCGATGTCAAGATCTTCAGCAAAGAGCTCTTCAACCGCCTAGCACTGGTAATATCCAATGAGGCCATCGATCTCAGTCTTCATGAACAACTTTCTATTGACGAACAGGAGTATTTACCCGTGTTTCATCGGCTGGTTAATATCAATAAGGTAAAAAAGGAACTCGCTTTAAGTCGCCACCCCAATCAAAGCGCAAGGTATCAAAAAAAAGGTGTCGCACAAATTGAGCACATCCATTCCACTGTGCGGTTTTTATATTTTGTGTTATGTTCTATGGCCTCATAAAAATACAAGTTTCTAACGTACATATGTGAAACTGTGAATTGTAGCTCGAAGCCGCCCATAAAAGTTACGGCATGCACTACCATCTCATGGCTGCGTCGTGGAATCCCACCACCACAAATTCTTCAGCAGGGTGGTCCAAGGAATTCAGCTCTGATCGGGTGTACCTCACTTCTTTCTCTGCCCCAAACCACCTTCTGGAACGCTTTGATCGCTTTGCCACTAGACGGGGAGGTTCGAGCCAGAAGCAAAAGTCCACAGGACTTAGCGCAAATGACCAGCTTCGCAAAAATTTCACATCCGCCTTGAATGGCCTTGTCTGTAAGTGCCCCCATGCAACCAGACCCGGAAACACCGATGCTTCTGACTGTTTTCCCTGCCTTTATCCTGTATATTTTCTATTTTGCCATCAAGCCGATCACCTCCAACACATCAAACCCAAGCTCATTAAGCCTAGAGTGCACATTCATCCAAAACAAGGAAAGTGTGACGTTTTACTGAGGCAAATCAGTTTTCCCAATGATATACGCCTTCAGGTGCATCAGACCCGTGACTCAAAGGTTACCGCTGAAATGCTTGCCGCTGGACCTGCATCTATCATGAACGATAAGGAATTGATGCAGGCATGGTATGACGACATCTTAGGCCGAAGATATACAGTGATCCGTGTCAACAATCCTCCTGCCCATTCGGCCGGATGAGCCATATACTTCACATTCTGTTATGGATTTGATGCCTTTTGATTAAGAAATAATATTTTCGTTACGAAATAATAAGGATTTTACTAAAAGCAGCCCCCCCTCTGAAGGGTTGACCGCCCCCTTTTAGTCGGGGAAGACGTTTACAATACAAAAGCGTTTGAATATGTGTGAATTCAAAACAACACATAGGGGGCGGTCTTGAATTCAGGTGAAATGGAAACTGGATGAGATGCTACAGAATGCTATTGATACTATCTTGCTTCCAGTCTCTGGCATGGCAGAGGCAACACCTGATAACGCATGTTCTTCTGATCGACTTTCTCTATATGATGATGACGATGAAGCAATGAAATATCCAATCATGTTTCATCATCACTTATCAACCGTGATACATGTTGGTCTGAATGTGAGGTGTAACATATAACCTTGATCTAATGAAGGATCTTATCATTATCAATCAAATCTTTGCTTCGGTTATTACCGATCGATTTTCTTTACGTGCGCATGTGTTTAATCATCACAAGAAAGAACAAGGAAGAAGTAGAAATATTTATCAATCACTGCGAAAGGGGGGCAAGAGGAAATTTGTGATTGTAAACAACGCCAGGGAAGGAGATTTTTGAATCACCAAGCACCAAGTCCAACAACAGATCTTAAGCCATGAAAGCAGGAGGAGGTGATAACGATGCTTTTAACGATTGGCTTCCATTTCACCTGAATTCAAGACCGCCCCCTTGATGTTCAGTTTTGCATTCACACGGATCAATAACTGACAGCCGTTTTTATATTGTATTCTTCTTCCCCGACTAAAAGGGGGCGGTCAAGCCTTTGAAGGGGGGGCTGCTTTTAGTAAAATCCAATAATAAAATTCATTATTTTGGAAACACAAATGTTGTCGAAATGAGAGTTCCATGTAGCACAGTCGGAACAATGAGATTTCCAAGTGTGAACAAAACTGTCACACAGTTTGGAATATTTTCCAAAGGTAATGTCCAATCTGTTGAATTACTTCATTGACATTGAGCCCGGTTCACGAAGGACCAGATTGCTCTAGAATCATCAGCAGTCACCTGCTGGAAGTTATAGTGAAATACATATAAAATGTGGACCTTGACGACTGCGCCGATAATAAGAGGATCAGACGCCGGACGGTGCCTATTCCTATTTGAGTTATTGTTTCACTGTTGCAATCGTTCCAAATGGTGCCTATGATAGTGCTGCGTTTCGAATTACGGATTAAGCGTCTATTAATGAATGATCATGGAATACATAGCGGGTTCGCACCAGGCGTTTGACAATCGATACACGTCTGGGGTTACAGGTATTAGATACAGGGATCACAAATCAATACAACTTTCACGTAGAGTGGCCCAAATCAGGCCAAATCAAGACAAAAAAAACTCAGTCAGGTATTTTATGTCTTCCCACACCTACATACAGTAAGAAAGACGGAATCACCACGACACACTTTCCCAACGATACTCCCATTGTGCCTGCCTTGGCGTTTGACGTTTCACCTGAACCCTTGATGGGTTGAAACCGTTTCTATCCGTTACTCAGTTCGAAAGGGCAGGACAAAAAACCCTTGACCAAAATGGCTGGACAGCTCAACTCAGGTACACACTCATACCTCCCTGTTTTCTCACGTCTACTTACTTTCATCCCTTTTAAATGTGTGTAGCTGATTTGCCATCTTGGTCTACTCATCAGAGTCCGATTCAACGTCACTCAATCTTATTCATCTCGATTCCTTTCACTTGCCTCACAAGAACGCTACCTTCTCATTCTCGTTTTCCCATCTCTTTTACTCAGTATCGCATTTGGATCTTTTTGTCAAACCTATTGGTTCTTCAGTCTTCATTCAAAGGTTCGATTTGATTCACACCCAAACTAATGTGATACTTAGCCTTCATCTGGTTGCTGATGGACTGGAGAAAAGCGAGCAATCAGAGATATCTGGGTGTGGTTTCCTAATGAGGGACGTAACATACCCGAAGTCTTTGTTGCAAAGCTTTTCTCCACTCCATGGGCACAGATGGTGTGCCGAGATATCCGATTTTCAGCAAAGTGTGAAACCTCAGCTGACCCTTTCATGGACTTGTATATCTGCGGTCTAGATCTGATTTGTTTGCTGCCCGCGCGCGCCGAACCCACTTCACCATGGGTAAAGGACAGCCCTCAAAAAAGAAACGATCATCCAGCAGTCAAAATCACGGCAAGCGGCTAAGTAACGCGCGAACACGCATACGCCCTAATCCTGGTCCTTCCAATCATCTGAATCGCCGGACAGCCCGCACCTCACATTTCGACACCCTCCGGAAAGAACTCACAGAATCTTTAGGTCTTCCCAGCGACTGTCGCATTTATTTTCTAAAGAAGTACGACCTGACCAACCTGCCAGACACGCCTCGCCTCAAAATCACGCACCAAAATTCTGTTATCCTGGATGCCGACACTTGGAAGGTCTTGCAAGTTATCCGATTCTCTCCTTTCTCAGAGCTAACTGAGGAGAAGATGAATAAAATGAATTTCACAATTAAAACGATATACAATCATGCTTTAGCCCGATCTACTGTGAAAGTCAATCATGCGATGAAAGGTATCAAACATCCTGGTGAGATGTATGTTGCCGGCTTTAGAGGAGCCTCCGACAAAGGACGCAAACTAGGTATGTCCTATCCGGTTTTGAATCGGTTGCTCGGTATAATGTCTAATTAACATTTGAATTCCAGGTGTGACAGCTCTCAGTGCGAAGACATCCAGGACTATGGAAGCCATCGCCAAAGACGAAGCAAGGATGGATGACTTGGCAATCATCAATGATACACTCGCAGAGTGGATGTCCACGCTATGCATGCGGGCGTTTCAATCTAACCTCGATCTCGCTCTCAAATTCTCTGTCCCATCGTTCTCCGACAAAAAATGGTCTGACTCCCCGAATGCCAATGTCATCGCCTCCAGTATTGCTGTCACTCGAGATGGCTTTAATAACAATCCTCACCCAGATTTCGATGCCACCCCTTATGCCTATGGTTTGTTTTCAAGAATCAATCGTGCCACAGGTGAACTTCATTGGGTCGAGTTATCCGACTATCTAGGGGACATTGAAGGCTGTTATTTCATCTTGGATCAATATCATGTTGAGCTGTGTCTCGATGGATGTGATGGCGTTGTTGAGTGCTGTTGGGCATCGGATGAACTTCATCACACCTCGGCTTCAACTACATACAACGAAGGGTGGATCCCGATTCGCCCAAAAGATTCGCCTATAACCCGCTTTGGCTGTTCACTGCAAATCAGTGCCGCTTTAGTTAATCGAATTGATGGACTGCTGAAAATGAAGGAAGGTAAGTCTGACATCGAATGGGAAATATACAAGAGATCTGTCATCAAGTGCTATGAACAGGAGATTCAAAATAAATCGACCAAGTTCCTTCAACCTATGGCGCATCATAAGCGTAAGCGATCCAAATGAAAGGATATTAGCAGGCTTGACATTGGACACCTAGTTGTTTGTATTTACTTTCAAAGCGTCACTCCTCGCCCTCAAATCTGTGTCCTTTGGTTTCCCGATTGTTTTTTCTTGATGTTGCTTCTCAGTGTAATTTAGATTCCTCACACTGCCAATTTGTCACCTTTAGCGTTCCTGAGTATCTTGATCGTTTTCCTACATCCATGTATTTCTTTGGATGTAGGCAGACTTTGAGACAATGTACATGATCGTGGTGGTCAATATCTAAACATCTGTTGATTCCAGGACTTCACGCTCAAAATGTGAGAAACGAAACGTTTGACTGTCAAACACATGAATGCAAACAATGTGGAACAAGATCAAATGTGGACTGTGGATCAAATACTTATTCATTTTGAATGTTGCTACGGTTGTATATAATGGTAGGCTGTCTTCCAAGACATCATAAGTAGGCAGTCGAGGTGGCCTTTGGGAATTTTATTTCTGTTGTCCTGGTCTTCCAATTGGTTTCTTCTGGTATTCAATGTTTTTACTTTGATTGCCTTAATATAATCACCACTGATTAAAATAGGTGATTTTAGATCTATCTGAAATAAAGTCACAGTGAACCCCTTACTGCTTTCAAATCGTTGATTTTAATGTAAACTAAAATTCTTTATTTTACAACTCCTTCCAAACCACCATCATATTGGCTTGATTGCATGATACCAGATATTCATGATGCTTTATACCATGTTTAACTGAAGAGGTGAGAGGTGTCGCTGTCATCTTGATTTTTCTAATCTATTACATCCATAATATGGATATATTATCCACATGGCCAAAGACATGCAAAGACATGGATGTTTAAATAGGGTTTGTGAAAGTTCATCAGGGAGTAATCAAAACTAATACTTACACATGCTGACACCTTCCCAAGATCCATTGAAAGTGTAAATGTTTTGGTGTGTTTATGTACTGAAGAATAACTCATATTCTTTAGTTGAGCTGATTTGACAATCATTTCATAGATGTTCTTAGTTTAATTGTTAGTCATTTACAGTCAAGGGTATAATATTTTTTTAACTTGGTCTTTATAAAAGAACAAACATTTCATAATTAAGAAGGATTCTGAAATGTTATAACTCCAGCAGGTTTGTCATTCATTTCATATTCTTGTTAGTCATATTGTTTATTATGTTAATTTTTAGTCATTTACAGAAAAGACTTAAACCAATCACTTCACATTATTATCTGATCAAATCTTGACCTTTGTACTGAGGTCAAGATTTCCTGATATGTTGATTAGCTAGCGCCACAATGATATCAATGAGTTAGATTTAGGAGTCACTTTATATTCATGAGTTACTTTATATTGCTAAAGGCACACCCAATCATGTGCGTTGAACATAGACACCCTGGTATTCCACAAGGAATACCTTCCTTATTCTGACCAAGTGATGCAAATAGTTGAAATCACCCCTGAAATCAACAAGGAAGTTCTTACTTATAGTGTTTGAACTCTTATTTGTATGAGTTACTTTATATTGCTCAAGGGGCACCAACAAGTTCCTTATTCTGACCAAATGATGCAACTTGATCTTATCTTAATCACCCCTGGATTCAACCAGGAAGTTCTTACTTATTATGTGTGAATACATATTTGTATGAATTCTGTGCAAATAATGCAATTAGAACAGAATCAACAAGGAAGATCTTGCTTGATATGTTGGAAAACCACTTTGGATGACTACAGTTTTCAATCCTAGGAAACTTCAGGGCCATGCATAAGGAAACCCAAATAATCAACACATTTCCACATGGAAGGTGCATGATTATGCTGACCAAATAATCATGCAACTTGATCTTTCTTAATCACCACTGGATTTATAAATGAAGATCTTACTTATTCTGTTTGATACTTAATTGGAAGAAACTGGAGCAAATCATTCAAGTACAACAGAAAGTATCAAGTTGGAATACTACATACATGTCTACTTTTTGTAATCCTTGGTAATTACAGAGCCATTATTTCTTTATAGATGAATGAAAACATTAACAAACTATCAGGAAGGCCAAAAGTTAATCTCTTTGAATACATATTTGGATGAATCCATTGCAAATCATGCAAGTAGAGCAGAATCAACAAGGAAGATCTTCACCAAAGTGGATGACTGCTCTGAGCAACCCTTGGTTGGAATCTTCAGAGCCATTGTTTCTTATACATGATAGAAAGCTTTCATAGAATTTAACCACTCTTACTTACTATGAATTGATAACCTGATTAATATTTGCTGGGCCAAATAACATTCAAAGGGCTAAAGTTCAAGACATAAAAGCAGTGTGTACTGCATCTTTAGAAAACAATGCAACTTGCCACTTTTATCTTTACTCATATTTTTATTGTCATTCAACAATTTTCTTACTTACTATGAATTGATAACCTGATTAATATTTGCTGGGCCAAATATTAATTAAAAAGGCTAAAGTTCAAGACATAGATGCAGTGTGTTAGGAAACAATGCAACTTGCCACTTTTATCCTGACTCATATTTTTATTGTCATTCAGAGGTTTAAAAAAACCACAACCAAAGACATCATTTCAGAGGTTACACCAGATGTAATTTGTAATATGTATTCAAGCTTGATCAGATATCAGGAGGAATGAACTGTCATTGTCAAGATGATCTGCCAGTTGATTATAGATAACATGTGAAGGTCAAGATAATCTGTCACTTGATTATACATGAGATGTCGAATATGGCCCCTTTGAATTTCCGTGGTAGCCATATACGAGAGTCTGCACATTTCACGGACATGACACACATGTACATGTAGTTATGAGGAAACACAGGCCCACTACATGTTTGACCTCATCCTCTTAATTTATTATATATCACTAACTCACACGTCAGTCACCTCCACGACAACAAGAGTTATGCCTCGATTCATAGGTGTTCACCAACCTTTCAAACCCAAAAATCCATACTGGAACAAGGCCGGTAAGACTGATCTACAGAAGAAGTATTTCAAGAAGATGAAAAAGGCGGTAAAAGCGCGACATCAGGCTCGTGGATCTACCTCTCAAACCAACAACCAACGACACGGCGATTACGATGAGGATAATGAGGCAGTTGACCTTTTGAATGACATGAATCATGATCATGAGGACGGACATCACAATGCTATTCCGGACTTTATTAATGACATTCATGAAGCTCTACTTGAAACTGAAAGACAGGAACGCTATCTCATACTTCAACAGGCTTTGCAAGAAATGTTTGTCGCTTATCTGGAATGTGGCATGAAGACAAGCCAATGGGGAAATCCGGGCACTTGGGACTTTGATCACAAGGCTCCATGTAATTGTCTGCCATCTTATTGGCGAGAAAGAGATGTGGATCTCGTTGACATATTAAGTGAGTGTCCAACTTGTAAGTTTTCTATATCATTGTACTTATCACTCGGATTCCATTTGTGGACAGGCCGCCGTAAGGTTCGAATACGATTTTGTTCATGTCAGCGAAGCGATCAAACCCGACTTATCCTGATGGGATACATTGGAGGCTCGCCCAAATATCCACAGACCGCCTTCTCCGTCAGGCTTCTTCGATTCTTCCATATTCTCTGGAAGTTCTGTACTATCCGAATAGACCCTTTTGCTCGAGCACTGGATGGTTTCCTGGACGCGTTCAATCCCTTGATTCTTACCAAAAATCAGCAGGTCAGTTGGCTAGCAGTGTGCTCAGACCCGCTTTATCCAAAGTGAAGACCAAACCAAAAAAACTAACCTATTGTTACTCACTATAGCCTAGACGATGGCACACACCGCTGTCATGGGCAGTGGATGCCTATCGACTTATGTTGGCGATGACCGAAGCAGCAATTGATGAAGAACTGCACCTGACTCCTCTTGGCAAAGTGGCCGAGAACTGTCCTCGATGCTTTGGCCCACCTTTGCCAATTGAATCGGTCCCTTCAGAACCAGATATCGTTGTATGCATGGATGGGAATTTCCAGCATCGACGTCACATCGCTGCGGGAACCAAAGCAGCGAAAGTGCCTACCAACATGCCACCGCTGTTTATTCCGGACGAGCAAGTTAAACGGATGGAGGCGCGGCTGAATGGGCAGCCTGAGGATGACTTTGTAAGATGTCATGTGACCTTCAACCATGTCTATTTCTACCGCCACCAGTTCAAGGTTTTTTTTTGCATTGATCCAGCAAGCTTGCGCAGCTCAACATACAGCGGCAAATGATACTCGAGGGAAAGGCCATTGGGCTGGTTGCGACGAGACGGGCCTCATGGTGATGGTGTGCCGTCACGACCACTCTCTTCGCTTTGCTAACATAGTGCAAAGCGGTGAAAAGTGAGTAATTTCCTTGTGTCCTTATCTCCAAATATTCACCACTGAACATGATATTGTTCAGGCTACACTATAGCTACAGTTTGATATCATGGATACTCGAAATGACCCAAAACCATGGACTCTCTATAGGATTTTTGTACGACATTGGTTGCACAATGCTTGTTGGAATTGAAAACGTAAGGTTTTGTGGTCCAGAAACCCAGCTCCATGGAACTAATGACTGGCTATCAGCGTGGAATGTTTGCAGAAGCACGGGCTCACGGACGGCTCAAATTTGGCACCAGCGTCTTCCACGCGTATGTCCATCGGTGGTCTTGCCAGCTACGCTGGAATCCCCGGCTTAATCTAGGGTGGGGCCTGTCTGATGGTGAAGGCAGTGAGAGGGTATGGTCGGGACTGGACCCACTGATACCTCCACTGAGGTACGCCACCCCACAACATCGGGTCAACGCGATTGACATGCGATCTGCTCATGTCAATTCACGTCTGCGTCATGAAGCGGGTAGGTGATTATTACTCACCTAGCCTTCCGAACCATTCACATACTGATGATATACTTGACAGTATATCATCTTAAAAG